TCTGAGAAGATGGCTGGGAGTTATATGTGCTACTGCCCATTCCCAGATACGTGTTTGTAGGCCCTGAAAAAATCATACTGCTAGGATGGGCTTTCCCTTTGGAAGACAGTCCCCACAGGGTCTGACCTACTAAGCTCCTGTAGTTTTTACTCTTAGGTGGCTCACAGGCACATGGTCAGAGTGCTCTGTGTCTTGTGGTGAAGGATTCCGCAGTCAGCAAGTGACATATAAACACACAAGAGTCACCGGAATGGTGCTGGTGTCGCCACTAAGAGTGTGCATCCCCAGAGTCAGGACTCTGACTAGTTGAACGAAGGAACTAGGTCGTGCTAACAAATGTAGTGTTTTCAAATCTTCCAGTCCCTGTAGTCAAACCCAACGCAGCAAAAAAAGGGACTTACCCTGGCCATCCAGTGTTAAGAATTTGCCTTCCAATGCAGAGGGTGCAGGTTCCTTCCCTGATCAGGGGGCTAAGATCCCACATGCCATGAGGTCAAAACATAAACATCAAAACGTAAAACAGAAGCAATGTTCTAACAAAACCCTACCCATCAGGGCCCCTCCCTACAGGGGAGAGGAGAGCGCCCAACTCCTACAGGACATTCACACGAAACTCATCTATCTGCACAGGGAGCTGATCACCACACACGGGCTGGTTCAGGGGACTTACTATCCTATCCTAGACCTCCTGGTCCTGATTAACACAGGCTGCAGGGATCAAAAGTTCCACTCGGCCCTTCTGAAAATGTTCAGTATTGTCAGTGTGGGAGGAGAATACACTCTTTCTGTATTTCTGCTCTGCAGTGCAGCATTTGTCTCTCTTGAGAGTGACTGTGCTAATTCTTAGGTCATTAACTCCAAGTCCTACATGACCACACACTTCTCTAACTGGAGAGGATGTAGAACTGAGGGTGACACATCTTTCTGGAGAAATGAAGTTTATTAAAACTGTGAAGAACCAGGGAGTTGGCAAAAACTAGCCCCTCCACCACCACCTTCGAAGAGGTATTGTGGAGGGAGGGGGACGTACCCCGGGGGATAGTTCAGTCTGTGAAGTTTTACCCAGGAAGGGGGGAGGGGTGGTCAGGCCAGAGTGATGCTTCATGGTTGCCCAGGCCACTCCAGACCATCCTCCTAGCTGGCCAGGGTTTATGAAGGCCGTGGAGGTGCTGGATTTGAAAATCATAGTCCACTTGACTCCTAAGTACATCGACCCCAGGAATACCTCAGGGGCTGCGTGGGCAGGGCTGCCGCAGAATGTGTTTAGTTTCTCTCCAGGGTGGTATTCGGTGCTCAGACTAAGTCTGCAGTCTTCACATTCGGTCAGCATCAAGGAGCAAGTTGCTTGGTTTCAGGTCCCGGTGCACGGTGCCCCGCTCGTGGCCGTGGTTCAGGGCCTATAGGAGCGGCCGGAAGGGGCGCTGGGCCTCCTTCTCGGTCATGCGGCCCTGTTCATCCAGGGAGGTGCGCATGTCTCCCCCGTGCCTGTATTCCATAACCAGGAAGAGAGTTTCTTCCGTGTTAATGACATCAAGGAGTTCCGAGATGTTTTCATGGTCTAGCAGCTTCATACTATTTATCTCACGAAAGAACTCTTGGAGGCTGGAGAAGCTCTGTTTCCATTTCTTTATGACCTTAATGGCCACCTTGGTCCTGGTCACAACATGCCAGGCCAACTTAACTTTAGCAAAGCGTCCTCTATGAAGTGGGTCATAGAGGTTGTTGCTTTGATTTATGTCATCGGGTGTTGCCTATGCTTTCCTCTAAGAGTTTTACAGTCTCTGACCTTATATTTAGGGCTTCAATCCATTTTGAGTTTATCTTTGTATATGGTATTAGGAAATGTTCTAATTTTGTTCTTTTACATCAACATCCTCAGAATTCTTAAACCATTCAAACATCAATTCCAAGTCCAAACCTCATTAAAATGTCACTTCACCTGGTACGGGTGAGAAGTGACACATAAAATTAATCCTTGCCGAACCCATAAAGAAAAAATACAACATATTGTTGAAACACATAACAGAAAATTTGGATAAGTAAAGATACTCTGAATGCTATAAAGTGGCCCATTCCCTTAAATGAACCAGAACATGTACTTCCAATTCAAATTGCCATAGAATTCTTTTCACGGAACCTCATATGATTTTGACATTCATATGGGAGAGTGAGTGNGAAGCTTTCTCTATCTCCTTTATACTTTAATAAAACTTTATTACACAAAAGCTCTGAGCGATCAAGCCTCGTCTCTGGCCCCAGATTGAATTCTTCTCCTCCAGAGGCCAAGAATCCTGGTGTCTTTTTGAGGTTCAGCAACAACCTTTCAGGTACAGCATCAGTGCAGAATAGACATGAGTTGTGGAGTATAACAAGAGTACAGAAACAGACCCATGTTAAATGAATTTAAAGTCCAAAATCTGTTAATCATAGAGGGAAGAAGAGTTTTAAAAAATGAACAGTATAAAACTACAGAAAGTCTTTTTTGAGGACATTAAAGAAAATGTGTTAGTCAGTCACGTCTAACGTCTAACCCTTTGTGACCCCGTAGACTGTAGCCCATTAGGCTCCTGTATCCGTGGCATCCTCTAGGCAAGAATACTGGAGTGGGTAACCATTCCCTTCTCCAGGGGATCTTCCTGATCTGGGGATCAAAGGCAGGTCTCCTGCATTGCAGATTCTTTACCGTCTGAGCCACCAGGGAAGTCCAAGGGCTGGTAAAGGAGACCTAAACAAATGAAAGGCGTTGTGTATTTATGGATCAAAAGGCTTAGTGTTATTCATGTGACAGTAAATTGATCTACAGATTCAACACAGTCCCCGTCAAAACCCCAGCTTCCTTGCAGATATTGGCAAGCTGATCCTAAAATTCATATGGAAATATAAAGGACCCAGGATAGCCAAAGCAATCTAGAGAAAGAACAAAATTAGAGGGCTCAGACATCTCAATTTGAAAACTTACTACAAAATGGTGATAATCAAGACAGTAAGGTTCTAACATGGACTTCCCCAGTGGGTCAGTGGTAAAGAACTGGCAGATGTGGGTTTGATCCCTGGGTCTACAAGATCCCCTGGAGAAGGGAACGGCAACTCACTCACTCACTCTCAGAATTCTTGCCTGGGAAATCTCATTGACAGAGGATTCTGGCAGGCTGCAGCACTCTGTCCATGGGATTGCAAAGAGTTGGACATGACTTAGTCACTAAACAACAATAACGTGGTCCTAACATAGCATAGACACATAGGTTGATGAAACTGAATTGAAAGTCTAGAGATAAATCCATATATCTATGTCAATTGATTTTCTAGAAGGGTAACAATACTAATTCAATGGGGAAAGAACAGTTTTTTCATCAATGGTGAAGGACAGCTGAATATGCACATACAAAAGAATGAACTTGGACTCCTAGCATATAATGTTTACAAAGCATTAACTCAAAATTTATCAGAAACCTAAATTTAAGTGCTAAAATAAAACTCTTGGAAGAAACTGTAGCCATAAATCTTCATGCTTTGGATTAGGAGATGGTTTCTTAGATACGACACAAAAAACATAAGCTACAGCAACAACAAAAATAGATAAATGGGACTACATCAAAATTTAAAGCTTTGTTGCTACAAGGGACATAATCAAGAAAGTGGACAGCCATAGAATGGGATAAAATATTTAAAAATCATATACATGAAAGGGAAATTGTTTCTAGGCCTGTTTGTAAGTTCAGCAAAGTTAGCCTAGGTAGCCAACAAACACAATAGACTATATAGTATTGCTCTGTAACAGCTTTATAATACTTTTCACACAAATAACACATGAAAAACAAACACAAAAAACATTTTTGATCTTACAGTATAGGACCTTGAAAAAGTACATTAGTACAGTTATAATAGCTGACATACAGGGGCACATTCACGTCTTTGGAAGTTCTCAACTTGAAGGTTCATATGTAGGGGAGGGACTTACTGTAAAATGTATACATTGAGCAGTGACTTTTAGTGTATGTAAATTATATCTCAATAATGTGGGCAAATTAAAAAAAACGATTGTATGAGGGAAATTGTTCAACTAATTTAAGAAAAATAAATAGAGAACCCAAACTCACAGCATACAACAGAATAAATTCAGCCTTGATTAAAGTGATTCAGTGTAAAAGTCATTAAACTGGAATAGAACTACCAGGATGCAAAGGATCTTTTCAAGTATAAAACAAATGAACAGAAAAAAGTGATATGTGTTATTAGTGCAGAAAAATTGAAGAGCTGAATGTCAATTTTTTTTTTCTGTAATTGAACTCACCCCCTACACACAAGCCTCCATTTTTGCTCTAAGCAAGAAAACCCAAACTTGGCTATAGCTTATGGTTTTAAGCACAGTGATTTCTGAACCTTAACCTGGTCAGTTAGAGATTGGCCCTGTCCTTTCTGCCCCTTCTCCCCAAGGATGGTCTCGGTTTATGAGGAGGAAAAGAGGATGAAAGGAAACTTAGGAAGCTGTCTGGCTCTGAAGGAGGGCAATCTGATCCTTACAGCTGGGCTTCCCTCCTCCCTACCTTCTCTGGAAGGACCAGTGCTGAAGCTGAAGCTCCAAACTTTGGCCACTAATGGAAAGAGCTGATTTGTTGGAAAAGGCACTGATACTGGAAAAGATTGAGGGCAGGAGGAGAAGGGGGCAACAGAGGATGAGATGGTTGGATGGCATCACCAACTCAATGGACAAGAGTTTGAACAAACTCCGGGAGATGGTGAAGTACAGGGAAGTCTGGCCTGCTGCAGTTCATTGGGTCACAAAGAATGGGAAACAGTTGAGCAACTGAACAACAACTTTCCTTCGGCCAGCTAACCCCCTTAAGTTGGTCTCTGGCAACGGCGCCACAGCACATGGTTTGGGTACTCCAGCACGATGAGCTCACAAGGTTGTTTTCTTTTAATTTTTTAAGATTAGTCGTTATTTATCTTCGCCATGCTTCACTGCATGTGGGATCTTTGTTCCCCACCCAGGGATCGAACCCATGCCCCCTGCGTCAGGAACACAGAGTCTTCACCAGTAGACCAACAGGGAAGTTTCTCACAAGGTTGTTTATACTGCACTGTGCTTTCGTTTCAGTGTCCTGGACATTGCCTGGGTCGCATTGTAAGGATGCAGCAGCATCACATAATTTGTCAGCACCCCAACAGTTCTGAGTCCGGCTGTGATGACACAAAGAGGTACTGGCCCCACCCTAGGGCAGCACACAACCTCTCCCACCTCAGATAAGCGCTGTGATGTCTGAAAATGGCATCATCCCTTCCGTACACCACCTCTCATAATGCACAGTTCAATTATGATTTCTTATGATGCCATCCTCCATGGTGTATGTTATGCTCTTGCTGTTCCATCACTAAGGCATGTCTGAATCTTTGCAACCCATGGACTGCAGCATGCAGTCTGTAGGGAAGCCCTGTCCTTCAGATCTCCTGAAGTTTGCTCAAATTCATGTCCATTGAGTTGGTGATTCTTTCTAACCATCTCTTCACCTTGATTTCCTTTAGGATTGATTGGCTTGATCTCCTTGCTATCCAAGGGACTGAAAAGAGTCTTCTCTTGAAAGCATTGCAATTTGAAACCATCAATTCTTTGGTGCTCAGTCTTCTTTATGGTCCAGTTCTCACCTTGGTATGTGACTACTGGAAAAGCCATAGCTTTGACTGTATGAAGTTCTGTTGGTAAGGTGATGTGTCCACTTCTTAATATGCTGTCTAGGTTTGTCATAGTTTTCCTGCAAAGGAGCAAGGATCTTTTAAGTTCATGACTGCAGTCATCATCCACAGTGAATAGGGAGCCTGAGAAAAGAAAATCTGTCACTGCTTTCACTTTTCCCCTTCTATTTGGCATGAAGAGACTGGACACCATGATCTTATTAGGCTTTTGAATGTTGAATTTCAAGCCAGCTTTTTCACTCTGCTCTCTCATCCTTATCAGGAGGCTCTTCAGTTCCTCTTCACTTTCTGCCGTTAGAGTGGAGTGGTATACTCTGCATATCTGAGTTTGTTGATATGTCTCCCAGCAGTGTTGATTCCAGCTTGTACTTCATCCAGCCTGGCATTTTGGATGATGGATTCTATGTATAAGTTAAGGAAGCAGAGTTACAATATACATCCTTGACGTCCTCCTTTTCTAATTTGGAACCCATCTGTTATTTCATGTCCTGTTCTATTCCTTCTTGACTTGCATACAGGTGTCTCAGGAGACAGGTAAGGTGGTCTGGTATTCCCTTCTCTTTTTGGAATTTTCCACAGGTCGTTGTGATCCACATGATCCACACAATCAAAGGCTTTAGCATAGTTGATGAAGCAAAGAAGTAGAATTGTTAGTCACTCAGTCTGTGCGACTCTTTGTGACCCCATGGCCTGTAGCTTGCCAGGCTCCTCTGCCTGTGGGGTTTTCCAGGCAAGAATACTGGAGTGGGCTGTCATTCCCTTCTCCAGAGGATCTTCCTGACCCAGGGATCGAACCCGGGTCTCTTGCATTACAGGCACATTCCTTACCATCTGAGCTACCAGGAAAGCAAAAGTAGAAGTTTTTCTGGAATTCCCTTGGTTTCTCTGTGATCCAGCGAATGTTGGCAATTCGATCTCTGGTTCCTCTGCCTCTTCGAAACCAAACCTGTACATCTCGAAGTTCTCAGTTCACAGATTGCTAAAGACTAGCTTGAAGGATTTTGAGCATAACCTTCCTAGCATGTGAAATGAGTACAATTGTACATTAGTTTGAACATTCTTTGGCATTGCCCTTCTTTTGGATTGCAATGAAAAGGTCACTTTTCCAGTCCCATGGCCACTGCTGAGTTTTCCAAATTCGTCAGTTCTCTTTAATTTACAGATTAAATCTGGATCCTAGTGTTTTCAATTATTCTAAATGTATTCCTCTGTTTAGAAACTGTTTGATTAGGATGTTGGGACAGTGGGTTGGCAGAGAATAAAATAAATTTTTATCTTGTTGAGGGGCTTACACAAGAAGAATGCTTCTGTCTGGTATAAAAGTCTGAACTGGTAGATGGTTTAGAGGGTAGAAGAGCTCTGCTCCCTGAGGTCACTGTCAGACGCCTTCCATCTGGCGGCTCCACCACCCTAGAGGAATGTACTCCAGCCAGAGAAAGTGAGGAGAGAGTTGAGAGGGCCACCAATGGAATCTGGAGTTCTGCCACTGTCTTCTTGGTGTAACTTTGAACTTGCTAACTTCCTAATTGTCGCAATGGGGTGTTATTGTCCGTGTCATATTATGGTTGGGAAGTTGTTTTTAAATTGTAGTTGATTTATGATGTGTGTCGATTTCTGCTCTACAGCCGAGTGATTTAGTTATACATACATGTACATTCTTTTTTTAATATGCTTCTCCATTATAGTTTATCATAGGATATTGAATATAGTTCTCTGTGCTATACAGTAGGAACTTGTTTATCCGTCCTATATATGAAAGCTTACATCTGCTAACTCCAGCCTCCCACTCAGTCCCTTCCTCAACTCCCTTCCCTTGGCAACCACCAGTCTATTCTGTCAGTGATTCTGTTTCTGTTCACATGTAGGTTCATTTGTGCCACTGTTTAGGTCCCACTCATAAGTGATATCACATGGTATTTGTCTTTCTTTTTCTGACATTTCATTTAGTATGATAATGTCTAGTTGCATCCACATCGCTGCAGATGGCATTATTCCACCCTTTTTTGTGGCTGAGTAGTATTCCATTGTATATATGTACTACATCTTCATCCATTCCTCTGTCAACGGACCCTTAGGTCATTTCCATATCTGGCTGTGTGAATAGTGATGCTATGAACATCAGGGTGCATGTATCCTTTTGAATTGTAGTTTGTCCAGTATATACCCTGGAGTGGGATTGCTGGATCATTTGGTAATTCTTGTTAGTTTTCTGAGGAACCGCCGTACTGTTTTCCACAGTGGCTGTACCAATATACATTCTCACCAGCAGGGTAGAAGAGTTCCCTTTTCTCCACACCCTCTGTAGCATTTATTTGTAGACTCTTTAATGATGATCATTCTGACTGGTGTGAGGTGGTTCCTCACTGTAATTTTGATTTGCATTTCTCTAGTAATTAGGGATGTTGAGCACATTTTCCTGTGTTTGTTGGCCATCTGTATTGCTTTTTTTGGAGAAATGTCTATTTAGGTCTGCCTATTTTTGGATAGGCTTTTATTGTTGTTGAGTTGTATGAGATCTTTGTACATCTTGGAAATTAAGCCCTTCTTGGTTGCATCATTTGCAAATATTTTCTCCCATTCTGTAGATGGTCTTATGTCTGGGAGGTTTTGATTAATCAGTTAAGCGTGAAGCACTTAAACAGCCCGAGTCATAGCAGATGCTCACTCTGTGGCTCTTCCTTCCTCCACATCGTGAGTCTTGCTGGGGAAAATGAGATGACCTTTATCATTGGTTCAGTTTCCATTTTGAGCCTTCACTAAGGTTTGTCAATGTAGTGTCAGCTGCATTTCCTATTACCAGCACAATTCCAGCCAGAACCATTCTCCTTGAATGGAAAATGTTCAGGACAGTTCCCTGATTCTCAACAGAAAACCTAGTTTCCAATTTTGCTTTAGTAGCTTAGGGTGGATATCTGGACCTGATTGAGTGAGAAATCTATCTTTTAAGATCACTCTTCCCTCTTCACTTCTGAGATCACTCTCAGTGAATCTGTGAAGGGCTTCCTGTGGTCTATCTAGGAATTTACCAGCTCTTCCTTCTCTCCCTGTTTTATTCTTGCCAGTTTGGCATAGTTTAAAGTTTTAGTATGTGGTCGCCTGAGTCCTTCTAGAACACATCTGACAAAGTGACTCTGGTCCCATCTTTCTTTAGCTGTGTTATAGTCCCAGTCTGGTTCTGTTGTCAGGACTGCCTGATTCCCAGTAGGGAGGGTGGCTATCTTGTCCTCTGTCTTTCCTGCTGATTCATTACCAAGCCATTCATCTCCATAGGCAACAGCTTTCTCCAAAACTCGAGTTTTTGAGTTAGGAGTTAGCATCTTTCCCAAGACATACATCATATCTTTCCAAGTAAGGTCATAGATCAGAATAACATCCTTAAAGGCTCTAATATATTTCTCTGCATCCTCCGAATAGTTTCCCAGGTCCTTCTTAATTCTCTGTATTGCTAAGGAAAGGGGTACTTAACTCTCATAGCCTGGTTATTCCTCCCCATGGGTCCTTCCTGAAGAGGCAACAGCTTGTGTTGCTGTTCCTCAGTCTCTCTCGCTGCCCTTTGGAAGAAGTCTGTCTTTCCTTATCTCTGTCTCCTACCCTCTGTCTCTTCCTCCATCTCATCTCCTTTCTCATCCTGTATTTTACCCTTAGTTTTAGTTGCCTGAGTTTCCTTTATTTCTACTGAGTTTCTATTGAAACCACAGTAGTCTGAGGTCATATTGAAACAAGGATTGCCTGAACCTCTGCTGAGACTAGAGTAGTTTGAATTTCAATATGAATTTCTACCGAGACCAAGGCAGCCCTTCCTAGAGGGGTGCCCTGACTTTCAGTTTGTTTAGTTGGGAGCCCCCAGATATGGGGGGAAAGTAGGAGAACAGGAGGGAACTGAAAATTTCACACCCAAATCTATACCCTTAGGCCATAAGTCTGGCATGTCTCACAGAGAGAAAAAGAGCAGCATATGTGTCACTTCTACCCATTTCTTTTGTTTTCTACAGAACCAGTCTAATTGTAAAATGGTATAAGAGACACTCTAACCGGCCATTGTTTGCCATCTTCCAATGGATACAGTGGCCACGCAGTTTCACATAGGAAGGTCAGGTGTGTCTTCTTTAAGCCCTGGGAATGGAATCTATCCCAGTTTTTCAGGATACAGTCCAAAGTAGTAAGGCTGGAACTGTTAGCTCCCATTTGTAAAAGAGGAAGAAGCAGTGTCTAGCACCTTGGCTCTTTTCTACGTGAGGTGTCCCTCCTTGCTGTAGATGGGAATAGAGATAGGTCTTCCACCTAAGCTTCCTTCCCTAGCTGGAGTTAACCTGTCTCTTATCGACACGGGTGGCTCATCACTGGCTTTCTCCGTTCTATCACCGAGGAGGGATGGAGATGAACCCAGGGGTAGACCTGATGGCATCCCAGACTGATGTCCAGTTGTTCACCATTAAGACCTTTTCCTGATTTCTGCTCTTTCTCTGATGTCACCCAGGGTGCAACAGAGTAGCCTTCTGAAAGGTTGT